CCTTTTCATTTGCATTGTTCCCTTAACACATTCATTGTGTTAAAATATTACAAAGGTTAATGATGATATTTGATATTTTTGAACTTATAATTTAGCAAGAAACTCCAGATTTGAAGGCTGCAGTATTCTGTTTATTGATTTATTTAAATCCTCACTCAAGGATATGTTTTATAGGATCAAACCCACAACCTGGGTATGTGCCCTGACTGGGACTTGTCCCTTCTGTGCATGGGATGATGCTCTAACCAACTGAGCTACCCGGCCAGGGCTGAAGGCTGCAGTAATTTTTTGTTTTGTGCATGTTTGTGTGTTTATTTCGCTATGAAAAAGTTAGATTTACTTTTCTCCCTTTGAAAACATCAGTGCATGGAGACATCGTGGTATCACTCTAATCACTGGATGGTATTAAAGGGGCTAAACTTTATCTAAAAATCTTGCTTTGGTGTTTTTATATAAATTTATTGAAAAGATCTTATGGAACAGGCACAGCGTTATCTAATTTTAATTTTAGGGGAAAAATACATATGAATGAAAAAGACAGAATATATATAAAAATACTTATAGTTGGCTATCTCTGGGTATTGGGAATACAGGTTGTTTTGTTTTGCTTATACCTACTTTTTTTTAGTAAGCAAGTATTATTCTTTTATAAAAGGAACAAAAACCAATCTCTTTAGAGTGGTCTCTGAGGTATGGGCTTTAATAGAGAGATGGGTTTAAATACTGTGGTAAGGCTTCTGGGCACAATTACAGATTCTATGTTATTTTCAGGTAATTTTTAAAATCCTTATATAGAATTAGAATTTCTTCCCATTAGTAATGTTTGTTATAGAGGAGAAAGCAGATAAATCCATCATGACAGTCCCATCCATTTAACCTCTTTTTCTCCTTATTTTGGGCCACCTGCTCGATCTCTAATCTAGAGAAATTGCCTTATAACTCATCTCCCTGCTTCTGTTTCCTTGACCATTTTCTTGCATACAGATGTAGCAGATGGGGGCCTTGCCACTGATCTCAGTTCCCTTGTGGCATGGACATCTGGTAGTCCAGGTGATATCTGGTTACTCCTACATGATTTGACTGTTCAAAGAAAAACTAATTTTTCCAAAGCCATCCATTGTGTGCATTTACCTGCTTATTTATAACATTAAGATCAGATTATGATCACTGTATGCTGTTTATGAGCATTTTAATTAATGTACCATATAAGAAATAGTTGAAAAGGTTTAGCACAGTCTGCCTGGAGTTCCTTCCTTCTGTTCTTTCCTTGCCTCTTTTGCTGTCCTACTGACCAAATGCCTGCAGCAGAGCACCCTGATATTGTTGAAGTGTAATATGGAGAGTCATGTTTTACAAATGCTGCCTCTCCTTATTTCCCCAACCAAAAGGGGGAAATGTCAGAATACCTGCCATTGTATTTTCATTTTCAGAGCAGTAAGTAGCTAATACCAAGCACTTATTTGAACTGCTTTTTTTTTTCTTTTTTTCCTTTTTTTCTTTTTTAAATTAAATCTTTATTGTTCAGATTATTACAGTTCCTCTTTTTCCCCCCCATAGCTCCCCTCCACCCGGTTACCACCCCACCCTCTGCCCTTACCCCCCCCCCCACCACTGTCCTCATCCATAGGTGTACGATTTTTGTCCAGTCTCTTCCCGCACCCCACACACCCCTTCCTCCCCAAGAATAGTCAGTCCACTCCCTTTCTATGCCCCTGATTCTATTATATTCACCAGTTTATTCTGTTACCAGATTATTTATTCACTTGATTTTTAGATTCACTTGTTGATAGATATGTATTTGTTGTTCATAATTTTTATCTTTACCTTTTTCTTCTTCCTCCTCTTCTTAAAGGATACCTTTCAGCATTTCATATAATACTGGTTTGGTGGTGATGAACTCCTTTAGTTTTTCCTTATCTGTGAAGCTCTTTATCCGACCTTCAATTCTGAATGATAGCTTTGCTGGGTAAAGTAATCTTGGTTGTAGGTTCTTGCTATTCATCACTTTGAATATTTCTTGCCACTCCCTTCTGGCCTGCATGGTTGCTGTTGAGAAATCAGCTGACAGTCGTATGGGTACTCCCTTGTAGGTAACTGACTGTTTTTCTCTTGCTGCTTTTAAGATTCTCTCTTTGTCTTTTGCCCTTGGCATTTTAATTATGATGTGTCTTGGTGTGGTCCCCTTTGGATTCCTTTTGTTAGGGGTTCTCTGCACGTCCTGGACTTGTAAGTCTATTTCTTTTACCAGGTAGGGGAAGTTTTCTGTCATTATTTCTTCAAATAGGTTTTCAATATCTTGCTCTCTCTCTTCTCCTGGCACCCCCATAATTTGGATGTTGGTACACTTGAAGTTGTCCCAGAGGCTCCTTACACTATTTTCATATTTTTGGATTCTTTTTTTGTTTTGTTTTTCCGGTTGGGTGTTTTTTGCTTCTTCGTATTTCAAATCTTTGACTTGATTATTGCTATCCTCTAGTCTGCTGTTGGAACTCTGTATAATATTCTTTATTTCGGTCAGTGTATGCTTAATTTCTAGTTGGTCCTGTTTTATATCCTTGAGGGTCTCACTAGATTCATGGAGGGTCTCACTAAGTTTATTGGCGGTTTCTAGAACACTCTTGAAAAACCTTATAAGTGTGGTTTTGAACTCTATATCCTGTAGTTTGCTTTTCTCCATTTCTGTCATTTGTGACCTGTTTCTTTGTCTCTGCATTTTTCTTTTATGCTTCCCTGTGTTGATAGAGTGGCTTTCTGTGTTAGGTGTCCTACAGGGCCCAGTGGCTCAGCCTCCCTAATTACCTGAGGTGGACACTCTTGGTGCACCCCTTTTTGGCCTTATGCACAGTCTTGTTGTAGTTAAGCCTTGATTGTTGTTGATATCACTGGGAGGAATTGACCTCCAGGCCAATTGGCTGTGAGAATCAGCTGTGTCTACAGTGGGAGAACTTCTGTGCTGGAGACACCCTTCTGGGACAAGACTTGCTTCAGTGGGGCTTTGGTGCTCACTGAGTCTGCCCCCTGAGTGTGTCCCTTATGAATCTGAGGACTTGTAATCTGGATGGTCCCACTCTGACTACTGGGTACGCTGGCTCTTGGATCTCTAAGGAGGTGCTAATTTAGCCTCTGCCTGAGGCTACCCAGCAGGAGCTATGGAGAGATCTGCAGATGCCTCTTCTTTGATTGAGGTTTGGAGGTGCCCAGATGAGGCCCAGCTGTGAAGCAATGCAAGCTGCTGTGGGGCCTTGGCCTTCTTTTGGATGTTCTGGGTCTCTCTGACCCAGCTGCAGTTTGTTAGGTAATTTTCAGATTGCGAAGGGCCAGGCCTTTCATATGCAAAAGTCTCTGCACACAGCTTGGGTGGGGCAGGGTCTCAGGAAATCAACAGGGCGGAGCAAACAACTATGGCTGATCCTCAGTCCTACCCTAAGAGGCCCCTCATCTCAGTGTCCCGGTAATCGCTGCAAGCACCTCTGAGAGAAAGCTGCCCTTGAGTTCCGCCCGCTGCCAAACAGTCCAGTTTCTCCTGTATGAGTCTGGGTCCCCAGAGACTTGCCCAGAACTGGAGCTCAGAGCAGTCGGGAGCTTGAGACTCCCTCCGGATTGAAAAAGACAACCTCGTCCTCAGTTGCCAGCCCTTTTCGGGTGCGCCTCCGTACCTCTGCACTTCTGCACCTCCTCTGAGTCTCAGTGTGCTTTTCTCTTTCCTTCTAGTTGTAGAATTTCCACTCAGCCAGCCTTCCTGTGGTTCTGGATGATGTCCGTTTTGTCTTTTAGTTGTATTTTTGAAGTGGTTGTTCGAGGCAGCAATTTCCGGTGTTTACCAATGCAGCCATCTTGGTTTCTCTGAACTGCTTTTAGAGCACTCCTCATGCACTATACCTGCATTAGCTTACAGTTTAATCTTTACAATCTTTAAAATATAAGGTTATTGGGAAAATTTAAAGGCACAGAAATGAGGTAATCTGTCCAAGGCTAAGCAGCAAGTGATAGAGTCTACTACACTCTTGAGCATTTTATTAATTTACTGTCAGCACCAGAACATCTTTTAATTGCTGAGGTAACTGATTTCTGTCTCTCCTGAACAAGCAGGCTGTGTGGGGCGATCAGGTTGACAGGGGGCTTAGTGAGGGACGACCAAACAACTGAACAGCAGGCTTCATGGGGCAACCATGCCGGTGGCGGGTTGGGGTGCGTGAGAGGCAACCAGGCTGGCAGGAGTGGGCGTTGGGGGCAACTAGGCCCACAAGGGAGGCAGGTAGGGGCGACCATGCAGGCAGGCAGGTGAGTGATTAGGAGCCAGTGGTCCAGGATTGTGAGAGGGATGTCTGACTGCTGGGCCTGGGATCAGGCCTAAACCGGCAGTCAGACAACCCTCAAGGGGTCCCGGATTGGAGAGGGTGCAGGCTGGGCTGAGGGGGCATCTAGTGTGTGTGTGTGTGTGTGTGTGGTCGACTTGGCTTTCTTCTCACTGATTCTAGGCTTAAAGTTTGTTATTTATAAATTATTTGGCCAAAAATATTTTTTATTAAATATTTACCAAAACAAGCATAGGCGTAGTTCTTTGCAAAGCATTTCCTGTGAAAGCAGTATTTTTTTTAATTAGGCTGTGCGCATTGATACCATTGTGAACAGTGTTTTCTAATGTTTCTTTCCTTGCCTGTTACACATTTTGAGCAAACTTTTGTTCAGAATCATTATACTATTTTATCTTTGTTTCACATATAAATAGGTTTATTTTGTTATTTGTCTTAAGTCTTTTTTCTTCTTAGAATTAGAATATGACTAATCATAGCATGAGATTTTTAGAGGGTAATTATTGGGCTGGCACAACAATTAAAGGAATGCTTTAGGACAAATGTCTGAGACATGATACTTAAGCTGGAGCCTAGATGTCCATATTGAAATTTTCTGGGAATAAAAGCATTGAGTTGGGCATTTTAGACAGTGTTAAGTAAACCCTGTCTTGCCAAGACTATTTAGATTTGTGCTTATATTCTTAGGTGACCGGGTTATCGATGTGGGATCTGAATGGAGAACTTTCAGCAATGATAAAGCAACAAAAGATCCATCTCGAGTTGGAGATTCTCAGAATCCTCTTCTGAGTGATCGAGATTTGTCTACCATGATTGGCAAGGTAATACCAAGTGAGGCCTGACCAGAAACCTGGGAGTTGGGGGACTTTGCAGAGGCATCAGTCACTGCCTCAGTGAGCAGTCTTGTCCTGAGAATGAGATTTGCCAGTAATACCATTGAGAATAATGGTTGCCTTATGCATTGCTTCCATCGTAAAGGGGAGGCCAACAGCTCAAAATCAGAGCCTTAATATCTCCAGCCCTTGTTTTCATGAAGCACATTTTGCACAAAAATTAGGTTGAGCATAGTATGGTCTCTGAGTACATACTGCTATGCTCCTAGAACACTAGTAATGTCTTTTCCTTTTATACCACCTACAACAAATTGTAACTCAATATAGCTTATTTTCTAGTATTGGAAATACTTACCTAAGCTTTACATTTTTTCATCAGTAAAGTGAGAAATACTACTACTTCATAGAGATATTGAAGATTACATGGGAATATATGTGACGTATTTATAAAAACATGTATTATGTGTTCAATTAATGGTAGCTGCTGCTATTACATAGGATAGTAGCATAACCGTCCTGACAACCTGGCTCTTTTTTGCTCTGGTATCTGAATTGGAAATAGTACTAGCAATATTCCAAAGTACTAATCAAGGAAGTGTATGCTATTTTAGTACTTAACCTATACTACTGCACAGTCTATTTTTAATAAAGTAACGTGAAAAAGCAGGTCATTAATTATTTTTTTTATGCTGTATACATTACATGTCAAATTTGAAAAGCATAGTGTATACTAGGTTTACAAGATTACAGTGTTCAGAAATATCTTTTTAAAAAAATATATTTTATTGATTTTTTTACAGAGAGGAGGGGAGAGGGATTTTTTTTACAGAGTTAGAAACATCAATGAGAGAGAAACATCGATCAGCTGCCTCCTGCACACTCCCTACTGGGTATGTGCCCGCAACCAAAGTACATGCCCTTGACCGGAATCAAACCTGGGACCCCTGAGTCCACAGGACAACGCTCTATCCTCTGAGCCAAACCGGTTAGGGCCAGAAATATCTTTTAAGTAGGTGATATCTGTATTGCTTTAGTCTTACAGGCTGGAAAAAGTATACTAAGGACATTTTCAGATGTAAGATTGCAACTAATTTTCTTTCATTGTCTTCTAACTGGTTGATTACTTCATAAATTTGTACTTCTAATTTTCCTCTTGCCTAATTTTAATATAATTATACTAATATAATTTATATAATTGTTACATAATTATAATTACATATTAGCTAGCTCTAGTACACTGCTACAATGTGGAGGTAAGAAGTGCCTTTGTCTTCTGACAAATGTAATGCTGCAGATGTTTTCTCTGTTAATCATCTTGCTTGCTTTGGGCCTGGGAGAGTGATTTTCTAATATGAAGAAGTACCCATTTTTAGTGTTTTAGCAGTTTTTTTTTTTAATGGGTTTTGAGTTTTGTTTACTAGACCTTTTTTTTAGTACCTTTAGAGATGATCATTTGAGTTTCTCTGTAGTCTTTTAATATGATAATTTATATTATTAGATTCTCAATAGATATTTTTACATTTAAAGTATTTGATCGAAAACATTCCTAAAACCATTTTACCTGGAAGAACAGAGAGGTTACACAGGGTAGGTTTCTTGGGCATGTGGAGTCAGATCATATGAGTTCTGTTTTCTCAGAAATTGTTCATTCAGATTTTCAAAATTTTGCATATAAAGTTATAAAACTTTGTTTTATAGGGCACCGGAGCTGCAAGTTTTGATGAATTTGGCAATTCTAAGTACCAGAATCGGAGAACAATGAGTAGTTCTGATCGGGCCATGATGAATGCGTTCAAGGAAATCACTACCATGGCAGACAGAATCAACCTCCCTAGAAATATAGTTGTAAGTTCCTGTCAGTCTCCTTTAAGCCATTCTGGCATTGACTTAGCATAATTTAATGAACACATAAAATTTTGATATTGCAACTAATTAAATGGCCTAGAGTTAATTAAACTTAGTTACTCTGTTTTGAAGGATCGAACAAATAATTTATTCAAGCAAGTGTATGAACAGAAGAGCCTGAAGGGAAGAGCTAATGATGCCATAGCTTCTGCGTGTCTCTATATTGCCTGTAGACAAGAAGGGGTTCCTAGGACATTTAAAGGTAAGTTTTCAGTTGCCTAGATAAAAGTCTTATCTGTCATATTACCAAAGTCAGGCAGCTTTGACACTAAGTAGTGCTGTGTTGTGTCTTTGTGGTTATATCCAGTAATCCACCTAAATACAGTTTCCAAATGCCTGTTTATTTTTGTTCCTTGACAAAAATTATGTGATTTAATTGACGATGTTCTTTTCAGGCGGTTTTCTCGTGTAAAGTAATTTTAGTCCATGTGAGTGAGCCCTGTGTTCCTTGGCAATTAGAACTTTTGTACGTTTTGAAGCCTGTTATTATAAACCAGAGTAGGACTCTGTAGTGAGTCTGTAAATTTTTGATGCATAGAAAACAGTTTCCACATATAGCCATGTCTCTACAAGTGAGGGAGTCAACCCTTAAAAAGCATCAGTGACATTTTTTATCCTGAGTTATGCAATTTGCACTTTCACACTTAAGTTGGAGACTTTGAGAGAACTAGTATTTTTCATGCAGTTTGCAGTTTACCTATGAATACGTGACCACCTATTCAGTATTGCTGTGATGCGTATACTGACTTTAACTGCCAGAGTTCATTTTGGCTTAAGACTATAATTACCCTTTATTTATCTGTGAGTGTTTAATTTTTACATTTTCTTACATCAATATGAAGAGGCAGTGGCCTTTATCATCTTTTTTATTACAAGTGAAACTAAGGCTTTTGTTAAATTTATTTTTAAAGTGTTTGGTAGTTGAATTTTTAGACCAACAGGCTCATATATTTTATTTTGTTTTGCTACAGCCTATAATCACAGGGATAGCATGTACATAAGACATTGTGTAGCTGGAGAAGCATTCTTTATTTAGCTTGAGTATTTTTTATCTCCTTGATACATATTCCTTATAGATTAATATATAAATATCAAAGAAGTTTTTGATTGTTTGAGGAATATTATTTACATAAATTGAACCTTCAGGTACATTAATATTTTTAAATATTAAGACCTGCATTTAAGTGCTGGCCAGTGTGGCTCAATAGATAGTTGGTTCTCGCACCTAAGGGTCACAGGTTCACTTCCCAGTAAAGGGTACGCACCTGGGTTGCAGGTTCGATCCCTGGCCCTGGTCGGAGCTCATATGGGAACGGGAGGCAACCAGTCGATATGTCTCTTTCACATGGATGTTTCTCTCCCCATCCCTTCCTCCCTTCCACTCTTTCTAAAAATCAATGGAAAAACTATCTTTGGGTGAGGATTTAAAAAAAATAAAAAAGATCTGCATTTAACCTTGGGGAAAAAATTTCCTTAAAGTTTGATAAACATTTAAATTAACAGGAAATTTAAATTAGCTCTAAGGCAGTGGTTCTCAACCTTCCTAATGCCGCAACCCTTTAATACAGTTCCTCATGTTGTGGTGACCCCCAACCATAAAATTATTTTCGTTGCTACTTCATAACTGTAATTTTGCTACTGTTATGAATCATAATGTAAATATCTGATATGCAGGATGTATTTTCATTGTTACAAATTGAACATAATTAAAGCATAGTGATTAATCACAAAAACAATATGTAATTATATATGTGTTTTCCGATGGTCTTCGGCGACCCCTGTGAAAGGGTCATTCGACCCCCAATGGTGTCGTGACCCACAGGTTGAGAACCGCTGCTCTAAGGGAAGTATCATGGAGATGATTAGGGATTCATCTGTTAGGCATGGTTGGAATTTTTGCTATTAGAATGTATTACTTTTGTAATCTGAAATGATAGATTTTAAAATGAACTATATGACTTATATAGATGTATTTATCTAATTTTTTTTTCTTTTAGAAATATGTGCCGTATCACGAATTTCTAAGAAAGAAATTGGTCGATGTTTTAAACTTATTTTGAAAGCTTTAGAAACCAGTGTGGATTTGATTACAACTGGGGACTTCATGTCCAGGTTTTGTTCCAACCTCTGTCTTCCTAAGCAAGTGCAGATGGCAGCTACACATATAGCCCGTAAAGCTGTGGAACTGGACTTGGTGCCTGGAAGGAGCCCGATATCTGTGGCGGCAGCAGCCATTTACATGGCCTCACAGGCGTCAGCTGAGAAGAGGACCCAAAAAGGTAGGAGAGGAGTGATAAAACCATGGTGGCTGTAGCACGTCTTGGTTAGTTCCATTTTAGATATGAAGCAGGTAAATATCCAGAACCCACTTTAAGAGGTAGTTCCATAGCATCATAACTTAAGAAAATAAAGTATTTCCCTTCTTAGGAGCTCATATATAAAAATGTTTGGAGGTTTAACCTTTGTATAGACGTAATCTTTTTTCTCATTTGAATTATTTTTAGTTTGTACATTCTTAATATTTAGACTTTTTCCTCCTCCCCCCCCCCCCCCCCCACACACACACACATTTTCCTGGTTATTTTGAATAGTTTTCTTTCCCCCCTCCTCAAAACTTACTTTTTTAAATCTTGAGAGGAGGGCCATGCGTTGTTTCTCACCGCCTGGCAATCAGGCTGTAACAGTCTGTGAAGCCTATTCTTTCTCCTTTTGTACAGTAGTCACAGTCTCCTAATGAAAACACTTGGCATAAGTAGTTTCCACCTTATACACTGTAAAGCCATTTTTTAATTTAGCATTGTTTTTAAACAGAAATGTTAGTGATTTTCTTTATAAGCATGAATTCATTCTGTGATCCTCAAAAAGATTCATAAAGAAAAAAGAGCAGTTAAATGTAAAAGTGTGGTAATGAAATTACTTACTGCAATAACTATAATACCCTATTTGGAATAGGCTTTCACATCGGCTTAGGCCATGTTTCCCTATCATAAAAGTAGTAAATGATATAGAAGAATGATCAGGAATAAGTCATCATTTGTTATTTAAATGTGCCCTGATTGCCTTTGGCTTCCACTCATATTTCTTTATGTATATTTTTATTGATTTCAGAGATGAAGGGAGAGGGAGAGAGACAAACGTCAGTGATGAGAAAGAATCATTGATCGGCTGCCTCCTACCCCCTCCCCACCCCCGCAGTGGGGATTGAGCCCGAAACCTGGGCGTGTGCCCTGACTGGGAATGGAACTGTGACCTCCTGGTTCATAGGTCAATGCTCAACCACTGAGCCACGCTGGTCAGGCCACTCATGTTTTTAAGGAAATTTTGAGTCTTCTGGTAGAATTTATAAGCTGAAGCTAGGCACAGGTGGTCCTTACTGATTCCTAGTTGTAAAGTTTATTCTAATCAACAACACAAATATTTTATCTAGACACTTTCCTGTAAGTTCATATTCACATCGGTATCTATGTCTAAAACGATGTGATGCATAAGGAAATTCAAAATCAATTAGCTGTCACTGAAAACGTAAAACCTCATTTATTTGAGTTTTTATTAAAAGGCATGTTTTAAAAATCCATTTTAATTAAGTATTTATAACTAACCAAATAATTGTCAAGTGGTAGTCCTTTAGGATTTCTTTTCATAAAAAGAAGAAAAAAAGTGGTAACTACTTTGAAGGGTTAAATTGTATCCCTCCTTTCTATACTCTAGTCTAGGCCAGTGGTTCTCAACCTTGGCTGCACATTAGAATCACCTGGGAATCTTTTTAAAATCCTGGTTTCTGGGCCTTATCCTCCGGAAATTCTGTTTCTTTGTTACTAATGTTTTGGTCCCACCCCGTAACAAAGAAACAGAATTTCCAGAGGATGAGGCCCAGAAATCAGGATTTTAAAAGGATTCCCAGGTGATTCTAATGTGCAGCCACGGTTGAGAACCACTGCTCTAGGCTGTAGAAATCCTCATGTGAACAAGTATCATGTGAGCTCAATATACACTCAACTGTTTATAATAGAGAATATATATGCTCAACTGTGTTTATAATAGCGAAACACATCTACATTGTGCTGTTATATTCAGCTGTTTGATCTCTGATGTAATAAGTAGGAAAAAGTTTTAGAACAATATTTATAGTATGATCCCTTTTTGGCTTTAGCCTCATAACAGAAGAGGGAGATGTTGCAAGGGAACTTTAAATAATAAAGTTAATTTCTTCACAAGAATGCATTCATGGATTATGTCTATGATCCTCAAAAAGGTTTATTGTGAAGAAAAAGGAGATGTCAGTTTCAAATATGAAGGCCAATATAATGGTTGCCACTTGCAGTGCTATGCCCTGAACATTGTTCAAATGTTTTACATGTAGTAAAACTTTTAATACTGATGATAATCCTTTGAGGTAATAGGGTAATACCAGTAGTAACTTTAGCCCTGCTTTTGACTTTTAGTATATAATTCCATTATTGATTTTTTAAAAAAATAGCTTTGGTTTTGTTTTTCACTTTGACATTTTATACAACTAAATCTCACAAATTGAAATTTAGGTAGTAGAATGTAGGTAGGATAGAAGTTATACTTTTAATATTTTGATTTTTTTGTCTTTTAGAAATTGGAGATATTGCTGGTGTTGCTGATGTTACAATCAGGCAGTCCTACAGACTAATCTATCCTCGGGCCCCAGATCTGTTTCCTCCAGACTTCAAATTTGACACCCCTGTTGACAAACTACCCCAATTATAAATTGAGGCAGCTAATGTCAAACTCTTGTGGTCACTGAACTTTGCCTATTGTACATAGCGTATATGAAGTGCTGGATTGAGCCTTTAATAAGGAAAAAGAAATGGTACGCATTCCAGGGCTAATGTTAATTGCTTGGCATTATGTATGTATATACTAGTAAAGCATATTTAATGATTTAAATTTCTTATTGAATTTGCTTTCTTTTTTAGCTATTTAGAAACTATTTTGGAAGATATTTGAAATTATGTAAGTCTTGAATAAAATGTTTTTCAAAACTAAAGTTTTTGTTATAATTACATGTTATATGTAATTTATAATTTATAATGTATAATTACAAATAAGGCATATTATTGTAACTAATAAAGCTGATAGAAGTCCTTGTTTTTTGTTTAAGAAATATATATTTAGTTGTTTTGTGTTATTTTTTTTTTAACTTTAATAAAGTCATGGAACTAGCAATGGCTGTTGACAACAAGAACAAGTTTGTAGTTTTAAGTGTTTGTGTGGCTTATAGTTTATATAGGGTGTTCCAGAAAAATGTATATACACTCTAACAGCTGATGGCTTAACTTTGAAAATAAAGTATATTTATAGTTATTCAAAATGTGTGTATACATTTTTGGGGACATCCTATGTATGTATTAAAAAGCAAGAAGTGCCCTGGCCCATGTTTCTCAGTGGTTAAGGCCTCAGTCTGTGCACCAAAGGGTTGTGGGTTCGATCCCTGGCCCTGGTCTCTAATTGTTTCTCTCACATGGTGTTCCTCTCTCTTTCTCTCTCCTCCCCTCCCTTCCACTCTTCTAATAATGGAAAAAATATCTTCGGGTGGGAATTTTTAAAAAAAGGCAAGTGATGAACTGGACACTGAAAGGCACTGCCTTTATAAGAAGGTGTGTTTTCCTCCATGAGATTGAGCAGAGAAGATGCTGGTAAATAAATAGAGCAACAGATTTCAATTTTCAGATCTTAACGTTTCATTTTATAAAATCTGCATATCCATAATTCTTTGTTACTTTTACTGATTGGGATACTCATAGGGTAAAGAATATTTTAAATGGAGATTTGGCCTGATGATGTACGGGAATTTTTTTATTAAGCACCCTACCCTCGGGTGATTGTGATGTGTAGTTGTTTTGCATATCACTCTCTGAGGAACACTGATTTAAGGTCACCTGACTGCTAGGCAATGTAAGCGAAGACCAACAAATAACGCCTTTTCTCCAGCTAAGTTAGGGTGTGGCCCCCACACTGTGCTCACTGGAGGGTAAAGAGCAGAAGCAGTGCCAGCACTGCAGAATCCAGCTCCCTTCTACCATATGATGGAGCCTGGTAGCAGCTGCAACTGGTCAATGCCCTCAGGGCTGCAGCACAGAGGCACCTGCACACAGGGGGAACCAGGTAACTGTGTGGCAGGCTCATGAACCCAGCTCCTTTTCACCCACCACATAACCCCATGATGGTGGTAGTTCCCCGAGATCCAAATGACAGGGACACAGCAGGGACACCCACCACCCTAACATCCAGACAGTGACTCCAGGGACCACTGGGATACCCCCTACCATGACCTCTGAGGCACCAGTAGTGCTGGTAAGAAAAAAACCCCAAAACTAGTGCCATCTACTGGAAAATGAAAGACCTATCAACCTGCTGAATTATTAAAAGCAAATTAGTCCTTAAGAAAAGTGTTCACTATCTCAAATGTGCTGGTAGAACACACATCAGCCAACTTGAACAACCAAGTTTAGTTTCTGCAGAAACTAAACAAAAGCTCAAGAGTCATGGAAGACTGTGATCTAAATGATAGAAAATTCAAAATAGCCATGAAGAAACTCAACAAGATATAAGAAAACTCAGAAATGCAGTTCGATGGGTTCAGGAATAAAATTAATGGACAGAAGGAGTACTTTACCAAAGATATTTAAACTATAAAAAAAGAACCAAATTCTGGAGCTTAAAAATGAGATGGAAAACGCATCAGAAAGCACTGAAATAGAACAGGCCACATGGAGAATTGGCAAGCTCAAAAACAAGTGTAGAAATAACTCAGGTGGAAGATGGAGGAAAAAGAAATTTGTGCTAGCTTTACTGTCGTACCTCAAACTGCAAAAGTTAATGGCCACAGAGCATGGTAAGTGGTTAAGATGGAAAAGGCTTTAAATTTGTGGGTGGAAGACATGAACAGAAAACATGTTCTGATTGATGGCACTGAGCCTGTATGCAGACTTCAGCAAGGAATCCCCTGAAACAAAGCACCGTTTACTACAAGGAAGGGATGATTACAATAAGGTATTTTGAGAGAGACCTCACTCATAACTTTTATTACAGTGGTATATTGTTATAATTGTCCTATTTTATGCTTATGGCTATTAATCTCTTAATGTGCCTAATTTATAAGTTAAGCTTTATAACAGGTGTGTATGAACAGAAAAAAAACCACCAAAACATGGTATATGTAAGATTTGGTACTGTCCAAATCCGAGGTTTTAGGCATCCACTAGAGTTCTTGGAATACATCCCTCACAAATGGGTGGAGAACTACTGTACTTAAAATATAATACATTATAAACCAACGATTGGTTATGATTTTTACTCATCTTGAGGTATGAAAAACTCCTCATACATAGGTGGACAGCCACCTCGTTCATAGCAGCCAGCTTCTGCCTACACCCACCTCGTTCATAGCTGCCTACATTTTAGCAAGTTAGGAATAGGAGTGAGCCATGATAAAGTGGATCCCTCCTGTGCATGCTAACATTTTTAAAGCAGTTGAAATCTTGGTTAATATGGCCCCTTGCATCAGGGTATTTAAAACCGAGTCACCCAAAAAGAGAAGGGGGAGTGGGAGGAAGACACTGGAAGCCACTTTCATTGACAATCTCTGCTATTACACTGAGTTCAAGGATTTGATTGTTTCATGGATCCTAAGGTTGAGCCCTCTGGTCCAATACCCCCATTTTGTAGATCAGAGACATGCAGAGAAACCACAAGTTCTGTCCAAGTTCACCGTAGCAAGAGGTGGGACTAACTCAGGTCTCTCGATTACTCAATCCAGTGCTCTTTCTACTAAACCCACTATTGAAACTTAGGAGGCTGCCTCAAGATGAACTTTAGTTGTAGCTTCCAAATAAAATTCTGTTCAATTACTAAGATTAACAGAATTATTCAAAGCAACACTTTTATCTGACTTCTTGGGGAAAGCTCTTCAGAGTTGAGTTTTTAAAATATTTAAAAACCAGTCCAGGTGTCAAGGAGTTAATAGCTATAAGTCCGTGATGGTGAACCTATTACACGTGTGTCAGAGGTGACACGCAAACTCATTTTTTTGGTTGATTTTTCTTTGTTAAATTGCATTTAAATATCCTATCTAATAAAAGAGAAACATGGTAATTAGCGTACGTCCACTACCCTTCCCATTGGCTAATCAGGGCGATATGCAAATTAACTGCCAGCCAAGATGGCGGCCGGCAGCCAGGCAGCTTGAAACTAACATGAGGCTTGCTTGTTTCAGTGATGGAGGAAACCAACGTTCCCCGCCTGCCTTGCCAGCCTCTGAGCTTGCGGTTTGAAACATAGTTAAAAATATAGAAGCTAAACTCCCAGAAACCTGCTTTCAGCGAGCCGGGATCTCAGAGCTGGAGTTGATACAGTGTTTCGATTATAGAACACAAACAAACCAGATACCTGCTTTCAGCAGCCGAGGCCTCAGAGCTGGAGTCAGAGCTAAAGCTGGCCCAGAATTTAAAAAAAAGAAAAAAAGGAGCAGTTGGGAGCTTCAGTCACCAGCCAGCCTGAAAACAGCCCTCAGCCCCTCACCCAGACTGGCCAGGCACCCCAGTGGGGACCCCCACCCTGATCCAGGACACCCTTCAGGGTAAACCAGCCAGCCCCCACCCATGCATCAGGCCTCTATCCTATATAGTAAAAGGGTAATATGCCTCCCAGCACCGGGATCAGCACCCAAACCCCCTGATCGCCTTGCGGCTCTGTGAGTGACAGGGGGCAGGGCCACAACCTCCCTATCCACCCTGTTCTGTTCATGACAGGGGAAGGCGCCCCAACCCCCTGATCAGCCCTGCTCTGTGCCTGATAGGGGGGAGCTCCCCAACCCCCTGATCGCCCTGCGGCTCTGTGTGTGACAGGGTGCGGCGCCCCAACCCCCCCCACCCCACGGGCCCTGCTCTGTGTGTGATGGGGTAGAGCCATAACCTCCCCATCGGCCCTGCCCTGAGTGTGACAGTGGCGACGCCCCAACCCCCTGATCGGCCCTGCTCTGTGGGTGACAGGGGGCGATGCCCCAACTCCCCTATCGGCCCTACTCTGTGACGGGGGGAGCTCCTCAACCCCCTGATCCGCCCTGCTCTGTGCGTGACAGGGGGTGGCACCGCAACCTGCCCATCGACCCTACCTTGAGTGTGACAGGGGGCAGTGCCCCAACCCCCAATCGGCCCTACCCTGAGCGTGACTGAGGGTGGCATAGCAACCCCCCCCCCCCCGATCCGCCCTACTCTGTGCATGACAGGGGCGGCGCCCCAACTCCCCAATCAGCCCTGCTCTGAGCCCGACCAGGGGCTGCACCTAGGGATTGGGCCTGCCCTCTGCCACCCGGGAGCAGGCCTAAGCCAGCAGGTCGTTATCTTCCGAGGGGTCCCAGACTGCGAGAGGACACAGGCTGGGCTGAGGGACCTCCCCCTTCCCCCCGAGTGCACAAATTTTTGTGCACTGGGCCTCTAGTATAAAATAAATATCAAAAATATAAATCTTTTTTTTACTATGGTTGCAAATATCAAAAAGTTTCTATATGTGACACGGCACCATAGTTTAGTTAGGGTTTTTCAAAATGCTGACATGCCAAGCTCAAAAGGTTCGCCGTCACTGCTATAAGTTGTTCTTTACTTCTTCCAAAATAAATGCTTCTTAAACAAGATGTCTCTTGATAGTAAGCCTTTGTGTTCAAAGCAACACATGTACTTTACCCATGGTTGTCTTTGGTTTCTAAGCTAATTTTGTATCGCAGGTGCAAGATTTAATTATCAAGATGAACAGCTGAAGGGGGTCAGCCTATTACCCATCTGGTCCTAATCCAGCCAGAGGCCTCTGTGCCTATGCCAATATTTCCAATTGTCAATGGCCCTGACTTTTCCTGTTGCTGGAGTTTTAATCTCATCTGCCATTCATGGACCTCCTGAAAGGTCCCCTCTCCACTCTCTCCCTCCCGGATATTTACACATGCACACTCCTTTCATCAGGATCTCAAGATTTCAAGGTGTCAGCTGATCTCTAGCCCCAGAGGCCCCAGCATCTCTCACAAACATACACTTCCATTCAAATTCTTGCTGGCATTACTTGGCCAGGGGGACTTTTCACTGCCATTCTAGGATGCTCAAGCTTGCACTTGGTGAAAAAGGAGGGAAAATATGAGCATAAAGCTTTTCCTCTGCAGAATATCAGAGTAATTCTCA